GGGCGAGGGGGAGGGAAGGACGACGAGGGGAGGAGGATACGGGAGCATAGGGGGAAGGGAAGCGAGGCAGGAGGACGGGGGAGGACGGACCTTAATGGAGACGTCGCAGTCCTACTTCTCTTTGTCCCTCTCCTCCTCCTTATCTCCCTCACCCCTGTCCGCCCTCGCCCTCATTCGCCTGGCCTCCCCCTTTTGGGGGAGAGCGGACTGGACAATATCGACGCTCCCAGCTTGGTTTAAATGCAGAAGTTGCGGGTGGTTTACATTCACCTTCGTCCCAGTGAGTATCCAAGACCAGATCCTAGGTGGCCTCAGTTCTCTGATAAAGACAGCTCTGCAAGTGTTTTTTGCTGTTCACCAACCATCATTCAAAGTTGGTTTCGCCCTTCCTGCTCGGGCTGGCAATCGCATCGTTCGCGCTGGATTCTTAAAATGCATGTTTCAAGATGAAAAAGCTGTGAAACATACATGGTCAGTAAAGGGCGCCAGCGGGATTAAACCATGTTTGCATTGCAAAAACATTTGCAAGACATCCCCAGCAAAATTGGAAGGCCAGACGCACCTCAAACACATCTCCGAGGCCAAACCGGCAGACTTCGACCGACACTCAAGAGAAAATTTTTTTTCGAGATGTGCGACGAGCTCGCCCGGAGGTACCCCAATGTCACCAACGCCGAGTTCGAACGCCTCGAAAAAGCGTACGGCCTTACGCACGATGAAAACAACATGGCGTATTCAGAAGAGATTCGCCAGATATGCGATCCTATCTCGAGTACGTATTGGGACTGGATGCACACGTATTGCGCCAGCTCTGGTCTCGCACAGTTCGAGTGCAATTGTTTTTACCACAAGCTTCAAGCTCTCGAAATCGAACAGTTTGGCCCAGAAAAACTCGACGAATATGCTAAGGAGTTCATTTGGCCTAAAGGCTGTGGAATGCGGGCGCTTCCCAAACATTTCTTTGTCAACCGACCGCAAAAGGTGGCGATCCCAAACGGACAGCCCCCTCATCCACTTTCAATTCCTCCTTCCCCCCCCCGCCCCCCCTTCCCCAGAAGAGGGAGGGGGCGGGGGAGGGGAGGAAGGGGGGGCCCAGGGCGGAGGGGGGGAAGAGGGATGGAGGCGAGCGGGAGGAGGGGAGGGGGGGATGAAGATTTGTTGCGGTTCCGAAAGGCTGGGAGTCACATCAAAGCGTATGCGGGGGAAACAATGACAGCGGCCATGGTGTTGGCATCCCTCGCGGCAGACGTCATTCAGCCCTCTGGCCACCTCGCGACAGAGTGTAGATCGATGCTGCTCCTTAAAAGGATTTTGGACATCCTGTCGGTGCCTGACTTTGCTTCCTTACACGTGCACTTGCTCGAGCGCGCCACCGATGAACACCACGACTGCTACAAAAGAGCGTATGGGCACAATATGTGCAAACCCAAGTACCACTACGGTTATCACGTGCCAGAGTGCGTGGATAGACACGGAGAGGTTGTCAGTTGCTTCTCAATGGAGAGGCGGCACAAGGACGCAAAATGTTTGAGCCAGCATTCGCCTGGCCCAGGCTGGGAGCATACCATTTTGCGTCGGCAGCTCGTGCATGCGTTTTCCAATATGGAGCGCTGCGTCATTCCTGAATGGTTGGGGGAGTCCAAACCCATGGAGTCGCTTCGGCATTTAGTTCAGCAAGTGCACAGCCAACGCATCGGGGAAGTGCGTGGATCCAAGCACGTGACCACAGTGCGCGGCACGATCAAAGCAGGAAATTTAGCGCTGTTATCTGAGGTGTCGCCTGCAGGCACAGTGCACCGCATCTGTCGCGCAACGTTTTTCTTATCGGGGAGGTGTTTGGCCTCGTTCGACCACGTGCACGTGATCGTTGCTGAAGCGCATGTGCGAAGCGGCAACGGGGCGTGGGCCCCCTCTGGCTGCGTGCACAACTGTTCGACTCAATGCTATTTGAGATCTCTGCCTTTCCAAAGAGTTTCCAATGGCATCAGGCCAGTGCTACCAGATCTGCCCGGCCTAAGGCTTGTTTGACAGGGGGGAGGGGAGGAGGCGGAGGAGAAAGGAGAAAGGGGAGGAGGAACGCATGCGTGGCTCAGCCGGCTTCGCCACGAGGCTTCATGCCTCCTGCAGTGCACGGGTTGTTTCGGTTCCCAGGGGGGAAAAGGATTTCGTTCTTGCTTGAGCCAAGAGGGCCCCGGAGGGGCGGGGGAGGAAGTGGAGAGAGGTGCCCCGGGGCGAAGGGGAGCCAGCCTGGGGAGCGCGAGGAGGGAGGGAGAGGGATGAGGAGGAGGAGGGAAGACAGCTACCTTGCCTTCTCCAGGCTCGCGCGTCGCGGCATGTATTAGAGAGCTGTCCCATTCAAAGACAACCTCGCGAGGGCGCGAAGCTAATCTCGCCTCGCGCATCGCGGGGCACGACGCGCGAAGTTCGGCGACCCAGCTTTCTCCCGCGCTCGTGTTTCGTGCTTCTCGTCCCCGCTGCCTCGCTGCTCAAGCGCCTGAGCTAAGATGCTGAGTGCATCGCCGCGCGCTCCCCTGTTTTTCTGTCAGCCGCTGCGCGCGGCCATCGTGGAACCACTCTTCCCTCGCAGATGCCGACAGACCTTCCGGCGGCCAGCGAGTTGCCAGATGCTCAGTTCGAACTTGTGTTGCCGCTGCCATTCGGTGGCACGCTGACGCTTGAACAGCGGATGCACATCAAGAGACTGACGGGCTGCGTAGCCCAGACTCGTGGGCGAGATTGCAGGGGCAGGTTCTTCACTTTGAGAGGCCCTGTGCCTAATCGGGAAGAAGCCTATGAGATGGCGAGGAACTTCATTATCGAGAATGGCGACACAGGCGGCCGGAGATCTTCGGCATCAGCACCTTCGAGGTTTTCGGCCGCGCCTCCAACGTCGCAGGGCCCCGGTCGTTCCCATCATTCGGCAGCAACATCTTCGAATTCGTCGTGCAGCTGGCCTTCTCCGTGGTGCGACCTGGATGGGCATCAGGTTGCCTTGCGCTATTTCGGTGTTCCTGGCTACACTGGTTGGGACTTCGGCGTTTCCACGCTTGGAGAGCTTCCTGCCCATGGGTACGCCATGGCGCAGGAGACTTGGGCAAATGCAAAATAAACAGAGGGGCGAGGAGGGAGGGGGGGAGGGAGGGTGGGAGGACGAGATGGACGAGGAGGAGGACGATGGGGGGCAAAGGAGGGGGATGAGGGAGCCCGAGAGTAAGGAGTGAGGAGGGGGAGGACTCCTCCCCGCGCGCTCGCGCCAGGACGCTGCCCCGGGATGCTGGGCGCCGCGCGACACCGAGGTGTGGCGCGCCGAGGTGGTCGACCCGAACGACGGCGAAGAGTCTGCTCGCGAGGACTCGGGTTCCAACTCCCCCTATTGTTTTTCGGGCTCGGGCCCCTGGGCCCGTTTTTCAGGCCCAGGGCCCCTGGAAAGGAGCCAACGGCGCGGAATCCATGCGAAAGATCGGGTCGAGAGCCTCCAGGGACCTCCGGGAGCCGGCGTCACTCACGATCCACGTGTCGTGAAATACCATTACGCACCTTGCTACCCGTCATCATCATCATCATCATCATCATCATCATCATCATCATCATCATCAGCATCATCAGCAGCAGCAGCATCATCATCATCATCATCATCATGCTGATGATGGTCATCGGCGATGGCACTGAAGAGGAGGCGGAGGATGAGAAGGAGGAGGCGGAGAAGGATGGAAGGGAGATGGGGGGGAGGGAGGAGTAAAGGCCCATCACACAAATACTGCATCAGCAAGCCTCCTCCTCCTCTCCTCTTCCTCTTCCTGGGGCGTGTGTGTGTGTGTGTGTGTGTGTGTGTGCGTGGTGATCGTCACCATCCCCCTCAAACCGATGGCGAACTGGGAAACAGCGCAAACCAATCGTGTCTGTTTTAGGTTTCGTTTCGCTATACCCCTTTCTTCAAAGCGCCCCAGGACGACGGCCACGTCTCCGGCGGCCTCGAGTCCGCCGACGACGACGACTACCACTCCTGCAGGGCGTCGGACCGAGAGAGCGAGTAGGGCTCGTCTTCGGTGCGCTCGCAGCCAGACCCCTCCTCCCTCCTCCACCCCCCGTCCTCGACCTTCCTGAGCTCCTTCCCCATGTTTCCCCGTGTCCTACTCGCCCTCCTCCTTCCTCCGCCCCGCTCTTCCCGTCGTGCCGAATGCACCGCCTGCGTGACGCTGCGACCCCGCTGTGGCGCTGTCGCACGCCGACCCCCCTGCTCGCGCACGCGGGGCCGAAAATCCGACCTCGCCCGGAGCAATCTACATGATCATGCAGTACTCTGGGGCCGCTTTTGGGCCCTTCTTGGAGCCCTCTTGGGCCCGCTTGGGGCCCTCTCGAAGCCTTCTCCGGGGCCCCAGGGGGACCCAACAGCCGCCCAAAAGAGCCCCAGGAGGGTTCCAGGAGAGGCCCAAGAATACTACACGGTGGAGCCCCCTTGGGCTCGCTTGGGCCTTCTCGGAGCGTTCTCCGCGGGGCCCCAGGTGGGCCCGAGAGCGGCCCAAAAGAGTTTCAGGAGGGCTCCAGGCTCCAGGAGGGGCCCAAGAGTCGACGCAGATGTCCTCGGGGGTTCCGCCTCGGTCTGGGAGGGAGGGAGGGAGGGAGGGGGAAGGGAGGGATGGGGGGGGGAAGGAAGGGGGCCGAAGGAGGGACGGAGGGAGAAGGGGAGTGGAGGGGAAGTGGAGGACCTCCCACCCTCTTCCAGCCCCCCTCTCGCGCATCCACCCCTTGTTCCCTCCCGGGTAGTCCTCATCCTTCGTCCTCCTCCTATGATCAATCCTCTTCCTCCTCTTGGGTTATTCCTCCTCCGCCATCCTCCTCTTAGGTAGTCCTCCTCCTACTACGGCGACAGCTCCGCGAGCCTCTTGAAGTCCTCTGGAGTCTTCGCGGGGCATCTTGGAGTTGCTTTGGAAGCCCTTTGCCATCTTGGGGCCCTCTTCGGGACCTCTCGGGGGCCTCTTGCCCCTTCTTGGGCACCCAAGAAAGCCCCGGGGCGCCGAAGGGGCCCTAAGAAGGCCCCGGGGCGCCGAAGGGGCTCGGGACTCTCTCGGGCAATCATTGGGCCCAGGCTTCGGCGTCGACCCCTCTGACCGCCCGGGGGGCGCACCGTCCAGATCGCGGCTCCCGGGGATGTCCCAGATCGGCGCTGGTGTGTGTAATTCTTTTCCTCCTGCCATAGCTATTTAGGTTGAGACAGTGAACCGGCTCGCCGCGCACCACGTATTGCACTCAACTTGATTTGGCTTCGAAGTCGATGTCCCGCCAAGACGAGGCTGAATATGACTGCCGCGTGGACTCCCCCTCGGACCCCGAGACGGTCCCCGACGGGACGTTTCCCAGTGGAGCCCCGCCCGCCCTGCCCCAGGACACGCAGCAGGCCCCCGGGGGCGCCCCTGACGCCGCGCACGAGGCAGTTGGGCCCGCAGGCGCAGCCCCAGACGCAACCGTCCCGACGGATTCAGCCGCTGCGGGCGAGCCAGCAGGAGAGGAACGCGTGAAGTGCTGCACGTGCGGGGTGATGAAGTTGAAGGCGGAAATGAAAATCACCGAGGCAGATGCCGCTACAGGTGAGCCACGGGGAAAACCCGATGCCTCATATCTCACCACGTACAGCTCCACGCGCACACACACGTGAGCGTGTATGTGTATATATATACACATATATACATATGTATGTATATTTAGATACACACATACGCACATGCATGCATACCGCATGTGTATGTCTGTTTGTGACCGTCGGGGAACGTGTGTCCATACTTGTCTCTTGTAGACGTTCAGGGAGCTAGCCTAGTTGGCACACGCTCTCGCAAAGGCCCTTTAATATCACGCCTCGGCCGTGCATGTCAAGACAGATTCCCCAGCATATGCGGTTCGCCTTGCTGGAGGATATATTCTACGATGTCGCTCCCTGTCCAGGTGCGAAGCTTCAATGCAGGTGCCTGGACTGCAACGGTTTGAGGGGGCGTCTGTACCGCATGTGCAAGCAGGACGACTTCATCAAAAATGGCTTTGCGGAAATGGGACCAGACGTGAAGATCGGCTTGTGTCGCATCGCGAACCGGCTTGCAGGAGAGGCTCTTAAGAAGGTCTTGCTCACGGCTATCCATCACAACCGCATCCAAAAGCGGAGCGAGAAGTTCGAGGGGACCGGCAACTTCGTGAACATCGCAGACATCAAGGACGCGTTCATCGAGAAGGAGGGGCAGGCAGCTTGGGATGAGTACTACAAGAATGCGCCCAAGATCACTTGCCCCATCTACAACAAGCCGCAGATCTGGAAGCCCGAGTGGTCGCTGACCATCACAAACGAGAACTCGGAGTCGCTGGAGGAGAGGCGCAAGATTGAGGGCGAGGAGAGGGTGCCGAAGAAGCCAGGGAGGCAGTTGGAGGATCTCCAGGGCGACGGCGCACACGAGGGAGGCGAGGCTGCTGAGGAAGGAGAGGAGGACGCCGGCCGTGGCAAGGCTGGCGGCAAGGGCAGATGCGGCAAGGGCAGAGCAAAGGCAAAAGCCGCGCCTCGCGTGCCTGCAGAGAGGCCGATCACGGTAACGCACAAGACCCGCCTGGATGGTTGCCAGATCCAACTCGAACAGATGCACATGAACATGAGCACGCTCGTATCCGAAGCCTCGGCCGCCGACATGGTGGAGAACATCGCCCCCAAGCACCTCAAGGGCGCGAAACAGTTGCTGACCGCCATCGACACCGTCCTCAAGAATATCGCAGTCATCAAGCAGACTAACACAGCCTCGCCCGCGTCGCTGAAGGCGGTGTGGGATGGCTTCAAGGAGGCGAAGGCAACCAACAAGGACTACACCAACAAGATCAAAACCCAGATCGAGGAAGGGAAGGCGGGGGATTAGGACGGTGTGGAGGCGTGATTCTTGGGGCCCTCGCTTCTGAGGGTAGCGTGCCACAGGTGGCGAACATGCCTGGAGTCGGCAGCATTGGGGCTGTTGCAACGCAGTGTAGTTCGAGGGAGTTGTTCTACAATCGCCATCTCACGTTTATTGTACGTCGCAGGCTCGCCTGCAGATGCCGATCGAGTGAAAGCAGTCAGCATCGAGAAAACTTTGAACCATGAGCGCACTTGAGCCACAAGTGCCATCCTATCCTCCACATCCCTCCGTTCCTCCTCCTCAGCTCGTTTTCAACTGTTTAGGGGCCCCTCTTGGGCCCCCGCTGGGACCTTCTCGGAACGCCGAATCAAATGAGATGGCTATGGTCTCTTCGGCTTTCTTGCATGCCTCTTGGGCCGCCCTGATGCCCTCTTGGGCCGTCTGGGGGACGAACGCACCCCCCCGTGCATGCCCCGTGCATGCCCCGTGCATACCCCGTGCATACCCCGTGCATACCCCGTGCATACCCCGTGCATACCCCGTGCATACCCCGTGCATACCCCGTGCATACCCCGTGCATACCCCGTGCATACCCCGTGCATACCCCGTGCAGGGGAGGAGGAGGGGATGGGGAGTGGAGGGGAGGAAGCGGGGAGGGGGCGGTCCTGCCCGCCCGCAAGCCGGCGCGCGCAAGCCCGGTGACGCTGGGGGGGCCTCCTTCCACTCATCCCCCTTCCCCTCCTCGTCGTCGCCCGCCTTTCCTCAGGCGTTGGAGGCCTGACGCAAGACGCGACAAGTCCTCCTACACCCCTGCTAGCTGGGGGTACGGGGGGGAGGAGGGCGAGGAGGAGCAGGAGGCCGGAGGAATTCGGGGCGTCAGGGGCTTGCTTGAACCGGGGGCCCTCCGGGCTCAGCGCAATTGCGAGGAAGTCTCGAGCGGCTATCACGCTTTGGCTTTATTTAAGAGGACTCGCCATCTGTGAAAAAAACACGGGTGGCCATATCACCCTCTGCGTTGTTGCGTCTTGTCGCCATAACCGTTTGGCCCTAGTCGGACTTCGGGCTGTTTGAGCGGCCTTGCGTCACGATGGCGGGCCCTTGGGGCGCGTTCCTCCTGGCGCTCCTCGCGTCGATGGGCCTGGTTGGCGCCACTTGGGAGGACGACCTGGCCCATCAAGTTCGAGTCGCCAGGCCCTCGCCATCATGGGCGAATCTCTTAGGGGACATCCCTCGTTTTGCGAGGCCGCTCCGCTTCTCGTGCCCATGTATCGGTATTTCAGGGTGCGGCCACGCTCTGATGGCGATGGGGGTGAAGGCAGAGATCTACGACGTTTTCGATCTTCAACCACGATACGAACAGTTCCTGAAGCAGCACCTCCGCGACTTAGGCATGACGCCTGCCAAGATTGTGCTGAACCTTGGACAGACAGCAGGAGACGTTCTTCAAGTGCCTTTCTCACGACTCACCAAGCCGATGGACTTTTTGGTGGCTGGACCGCCCTGTCCTAGCTTTTCAATTGCAGGAACTCGCGGTGGCACTACTGATATTCGAGGTTCGGTGTTCGTTCGTGTTTTACAATGGACTATATGCTACATAAAGTTCGCAGGCTTGCTCGGAGTGATATTGGAGAATGTCGTGGGCATTACGCACAAGGTGAACGGCGCTACGAGATCCACCATGGACGTGTTCTTGGCAATCCTTCGCCGCGAGGCACCCGAGTTCCACTGGCAAGTTGATAAGATAATGGCACGAGACTACCGCTTGCCACAAGCCAGGGTTCGGGTCTTCCTCCGAGGGATTCGGAGAAGCTTATGTCCTGCAATGCCACCTGTACTGCCACCTTTCGGCCGATTCGACATCAAGAAGCTCTTGTGCAAGCTGTCCATCACGAAAAGGGCTGATCTAACGGTTTCGCAGCAGCAAAACCTCAAGTACTACGAGATGCAGATCAAGAAGGACTACAAGGATGGGTGGCTTGACAACACCGACATCGTGACATTTAACGTGGACAGGGGCCCAGGGCGAGTGTTCGCTGCTAGCTACTCGGTGAACATGTTTCCTACGATTACATGCCACACAAATCTATATATTCGTGGCTTCTGTGGACGAGGTGGTGAACAATGTCCCTGACCAGTCTCGCAAATATTTTCGGCGCCCGAGCCTGGTAGAATTATTTCAAGCACAGGGGTTCCCAGCAGAGACGATCGCCTTGGAGACGAGTCTCACTCAGACATGAAAAAAAAGGTGAAAAAAAAAAAAAGACGATAAAAAAAAAAAAAAATAGGAAAAAAAAAAAAGAGAGGGGGGGTAAAAGGGAACAAAAAAAAAATTAAAAAAAAAAAATAAAAAAAAAAAGAAAACAAAAAAAAAAAAACATAGGAAAAAAACATAAAAAGCTTCCCGAAGGGATCTGAAAACTCGCGGTGTGGGTAAAAAGAAAAACAACGCGTACCCCCCGCAGCTGATCGCTGCGACCTTGTTGCCGGCGCTCCGCATGATCAAGCCCAGCGACTTGATTCCAGCGCGCCCGTGTAGCAAGGACACTTTACAGCGTGTCCAGAACTTGCCCCAGTACATTAGGCACGCAATTGAGGCAGCGCAGCCGCAACGCAAGCGCCGCCGGAACGAGTCAGATTAGGTCCATGTCTTTTGTTCCCATAGGCTCGCCTCGGGGACACCTCCATATTCTCGACGCTTCGCGTGCGCATCCGCGCCAGCCCATCCACAAAACGATGCCCAGTCTTAGGTTTCCCCCGGGTAGTTCGGGCTTGGTGCCCTTGGGCCCTTCTTGGAGACGTCCTGGACTCTCTTGGAGCCGTCTTGGGGCCCTCTTGGGCCCTTACAAGGAGGCCAGGGGGAGTCCAAAAAGGGCCCGTGGACACCCGGGGGGTCGCAGTAGCATCCAGGGTTACTCGCTTCTTGGGGCCCGAAGGGGAAGAAGGGGGGTTGGAGGAACACCATCTGCGCCGCATGAAGGCTGGCGGCTTGCTCCGCACGGGTCTGAGCGACCCGCGCCGAGACGTTCGGACACAACGACGGCTCAGCCGAAGTGTCATCTTGGTCGGCTTTCAGCTGTTGCGTCGGGCATTGGCTAGAGCAGGCGGGGGCGGCGGGCCTACGAATTGTTATTTCCTTCGAAAGGATGAGACCATCCCGTGGCCCCCAAAGGGATCTACAACCAGTTTTTACCAAAAAAACCTCTCGTGGGGCCCTTTGGCGCCCAGAACAGCCCAAAGTATGCAAAGGCGGCCCTCGGGGCCAGTGTTTGACACTCCGCGTGTCCCCACCAGCCCAGAGAGCGAGGATAAGGACAACGACAAACAGAATGAGCCAAAGTAGGAAGGACGAATGAAAGCAAAAAAAAAATAATAAAAAAAAAGAAAAAAAAAAAAAAAAAAAAAAAAAAAAAAAAAAAAAAAAAAAAACAAAAAATGGAGAAAAAGAAAAAACAAAAAAAAGAAACAAAAAACAAAAAACAAAACGAATTTTTATTTCCTTCGAAAGGATGAGACCATCCCGTGGCCCCCAAAGGGATCTACAACCAGTTTTTACCCAAAAAACCTTTCGTAGGGCCCTTTAGCGCCCAGAACAGCCCAAAGTATGCAAAGGCGGCCCTCGGGGCCAGTGTTTGACACTCCGCGTGTCCCCACCAGCCCAGAGAGCGAGGATAAGGACAACGACAAACAGAATAAGCCAAAGTAGGAAGGACGAATGAAAGCAAATAAGCATGAGTTGAGCAAGTGGGGACAGCAGCGGGCCGGGCCAAGGAGGGTGAGGAAGGTTCCCCCTCCACCCTGCATGGTCCTCCTCCTTCCGCCATTCCGATGCTCATCTCCCATCCTCCCCCTCCTGTCCGATGGGTGCGCCTGATCGGTACATCTTCGATCGGCGCATGGACCCCCCCCCCCCCGGGCGCCTCTGGCGCCACCCCTGGCGCGCTAGGCGCATCCATCGGCGCCCTTCCCGTTCCATAGCCATTTGGTCCAGAGCGGGCTCGCCCCAGGACTACATAAGGACTCTGCAGCTGGCAACTCACGTCTTGCCCCGCATGGCGCAACCAACCTTTTTGCAGCAACTGCAGCAGACCGTCAGCTACCTAGATACTGTGTCCTTGACCGGGGCACTCGGCCCAGACGCCTTTCAGACTATGTTGGACGCCCGCAAGAACGAGCTGCTGGTTCACCTCAGCAACTCTGGCGGACTCTCTGTCTCTGACGGCAACCAGGCGCTCCAATTGCTCTTGAACAGCCAGTACCCGGCAGGGTCGCGCCGCGAACTGGGCGCGGCCATTACCACGGCCGTTGGCTTCAACGCAGGGGGCGCCCAGAGGACTGGCAATCAGAATTCCCAGGACGCCACGAGTCTTCAGCACTACCTGACGCAGGACGTCTGGCAAATCCTCATGGATCCGACTGTCTCTTACGTGGCGAAGGTCGACTCCCTTTCCACGTTCGCGGTGTCCCGCCTGGGTCTCACCTTCCTCAACGAGGCGAGCATCGTGAACGCTGTGGCCATCATGGTGGTCGCTGCGAACCAGCGGCAGACTCTGAACATGCAAGCCTCTGATGGGCTCCAGATGCTGCAGGACTTGAAGGACCAGATCAGGATCGTTCGCGCCCGTGGAAGGACATCAGGGCGGCACTGCAAACAAAAAACACCCTCCTCCTCCACATCCTTCGGGGATGGACAGACCCCCCTTTAGCAAAACGTGGTTTAGTGAAAACGACCTGAGGCCCGAACCTGGTGGGCGCAAGCCTGGAAAATGACGGCCACGGCGCCCTCTCGAGAACCGAAAACGGACAATTCACTAATCGACGTGTCACTGTTGGGGGTTCTGTCCAACCCCGAATCCTCCTCCTGAATCCCTCCTCCTCCATCCTCCCATTGCTTTCCTTTATCCTTCTCCTTCTCCTCCTTCCCCATTCAATTCCACTTGCCTCGTCCTGATCATCCGCCTCCGCCCTCTCTCTGCCCCCTCCCCCGCTCCTCCTTGCCTTTCTCATCCTCCGCTTCTACCCTCCCT